AAGGTCAGCCTCAAGTTCAGCCTTTTGAACAGCCTCTTGGACAGCCTCAAGTTCAGCATGTTGGACAGTCTCAAGGTCAGCCTCAAGTTCAGCCTCTTGAACAGCCTCAAGTTCAGCCTCAAGTTCAGCCTCAAGTCCAGCCTCATCCACGAAATTACGCACAGTTTCAAGTGGAGCCTCCCGAAGAGCCTCGAGATGTATCGCTCCACTTGTCTCAAGTGCTCCACTGGTCTCATGTCTGGACTCTTCTCGCCTTGATCTTGATCTTGCCCATCGTTTCTGTGGTAATTAGGACGGTGTTGAATCCAATATCTGCCTTTCCGACAGCTGACTTGATTTCTCGATGTATACTCGGGAGTGAATTCATATGGCTGGTAAGTATGTTCATGGATATACTCCTTGACATACCACCATTCAAAAACGAACGGAAGAGAAGATTCGTCAAATATTTGGCCAGTCTTCCTATGGCTTTCTTCTGTCTAATGCTCTACACTTTCCTCTTCTGTATCGACGCCTGCAATGACAAGTCAACTCAGCCATGAACAAGCTACTCCTCGGCTAGTGCTTGTCTGCGTTCAAAAGCGATACGGAACAGAAGTGGGCTTGGGCCACGGTTGAAACTGAAGCATGCTCGATGACGACTGAGAGCTGGGTGGGCTCGGCGACGAAACTGAGACCGGTGCAGGAAGGCAGGCAGGCCCTTTCAGCAACAAGGACTGTTGCAGTCTGTGGATGGAGTGATGGAGTGATGAAGTGATGGAGTGATGCAGGCAAGCTGGCCACGCCACTCTCGAAATTGCATATGCCGTCATGGCAAGCTTGGGATGTCTTCTTCTGTGCTTTCGACCTGCTCGGTACTTGGTGCCAGAGGCGGAGCATTCGGATTTTGGGATTTGCTGTTTTTCTTTTTCCCCCCCTTTCCCCCCTTTTTTCCCCCTTTTGTTTCCTTGCCTTGTTTTCAGAAAGGGCCGACACAGACAGAGAGCAATGCGGTGTTTTCAGACAGGGCCGACATAGACACAGAGCAATGCGGTGTTCGGGAAAGTGAAATGCTGCAGTACGGGTACGGGTACGGGTACGGTATGTGCTGCACCCACGAGCACAAGCAAGCAAGCAAGCAACTCAGTCATGTGGTAAAATCAGAGGATCACAAGCAAGCAACTCAGTCATGTATGTAGTAAGCTCAGAGGATCACGTTGCTATCATCAGAGAGCTGGAAGTGCTAAGGGGCTGGTATCAGTGTTTGTTAGAGCTAGCACAGCACAGCACACCATAGAATGTTAGAGTTCGAACTCAACCTCAACCTAGAGGAAATATCCCTCCTGCTTGTTCCTCGGTCTTGTCCTAATCCTCATCTTCATCCTAATCATCATCCTAGTCTTCATCCTCATCCTCATCCTCATCTTCATCTTCATCTTCATCTTCATCTTCATCTTCATCTTCATCTTCATCCTCATCTTCATCTTCATCTTCATCCTCATCTTCATCTTCATCCCCATCCCCATCCTAGTCATATGTATGTGTGTATGTATGTATGTATGTATGTATGTATGTATATCCTCCCACTCCCCCACCCCTACCCCCCAACTAGACGAGGCTGTGCACAACGACAGCGCAAGAGAGAAGAAGAGGAAGAGAAGACTGCCCACAAATTGACCAAGGTAGCGATGCTCTTTGGCATTCTGAGATTTCTGACCAACTGACCAACTGACCAACTGACCAACTGACCAACTGCTCCTCATAGAGATTACTGGCAGTCTATCCTGTTCCTGTCCCTGTCCTATTAAATATATCCAAGACTTTTGAGCATCCCTTCAACGCCATCGCTACATGTGTTCACAAATGTTCCGGTTTTAGGCTTCAATCAAATTCATCCCCCCTCCTGCTCCCCCTCTTCAGGCTTGCTTGCAGCACTCTCTTGACCTGTGTGGGATTGACTCCCTTTCACCATATGCCTGCCCGTGGCATCAACTTCAGTCTCTGGAGGTTGTGACGGCTCACCCGGATGGTTTCGACTTGTCTCCCTCTTGGTATCTTCTTCCTTCTCGCGGCCTTCGCCGCGGAGAGATTCCTCTAGCCTCTGGAATAGTTTCTCCAGTAGCCATTCTGATTCCTCCATGTCTCCCATCAATGGACTTCGATCGCCTATCCAACTCCATTTCTTCTTCTGTTCTGCGCCTGTTCCTTCTTGGTTCGAGTATGTGGCCTCTTGTCCACTGTCTTTGGGTGTTTCTTCCCCCTTTGATCCATGGGCTAGGTCCACTGCCCGTTTGTGGTAGGACGGGTCTGCCTCGTCTTCTCCCAGCAATTTGAGAAACACGGTCCATTCCGCATAGTTGTACTTTTTGGGCGTGGCTGCCATGGTGTCGGCGTATACTTTGCGGATCTGGGCAAGGAGAGCATGGCGATAATGGTGTTCATCTGTGCCTGTCAGCAAGGAGCAAATCCACACGACCGGTCAAACCTGCCTTCTTCCGCTCGATCACCCTGGTTGCGGGCGTTTGTTTCATCTATCTCTTCGGAGCCCTCAAAATCTGCGGCTAGTCGATCTACCGCCTTATGATCACCCTTGTTTCTTCGCTTTCTACCATGTCTACCGAACAGCCGGATTAATCCTGGATGAAGTTCCTTTTCGTCATCGTCATTGCTTGAGCCTTCTTCCATATCTCGGGAAAATGAATGACGAGGGTCAATTTTCCCGAGTGTGGCTTTATACAGACCATGCTTCAACCGATTTCTCGTGGTGTCTTCATCGCTGGGAAGAACGGTGATCTCACCAAGCCAGATAGTTGTCTCTTTCACAGCTTTGACCACTGTGTCTCCCATGTCTGAGACCAGGATCGTCAGCGTGGGCACCGCAAGCAGTGACCAGAACACAAAAAACGGTTTTCCACTGTTGCTCATCGGTTCAACATCTCCATAGCCGATTGTCAAGAGGGTGGTATATGAAAAGTAGACGGATTCGAAATATGACCACTCTTGGTTCTTTTCAGCGCTGTAGAACACCAGAGCGCCGATCGTCCACTTTATCTAGTCAGCAAGAGTCAAACATCAGAAGCACCCAAACTCACCAGGAATGCGAACGCGAACGTCGATACCACTAGGCTCATGTACTTCCGCTCGGTCGCCGCCCTTTCCTGGACTCTTCGCATCGCCTCGAATTCGGCCTCCCTTCTGTCGAGCTCGGACAGCTCCTCATCGCCCGCCCCGGTGGCCAGTGCCTTGGCGAGACCGTTGTTTGATCCAATGAGGCGCCTTCTGAGATGGCTTTTGTTGTTGACGATGCGGTTAATCTCCATGACCAATCGAGCTCGAGTCTTTTCGGTCAAGCGTGCCCCCATCTTCTTCTTCCCTCGATCCAGGATCAGTGATCGAATGGAACTGACCACAAGACCCAGGGTGATGATGCCACCTATGGCAAAAGGAAAAAGCAAACCACGTCCCACATTGGTCTTGGGCACGTAATCAGCTCCGATGCCGATGGTGAGAGAGGTGAAGTCGGCCCAGTACACGGCATCCAGAAACTTCCAGCCCTCAACGTGAGAGTAAATTAAGGCTCCCAGAAGCTGGTAAACAAGGAATGCAATAGTTTGCAGCATCAGTGTACGTTGCGCAACGGTGAGCTTGAACTCCTTGCTATAGTGGCCCTTGTAGGCTCCGTACACAGTGACACACATGAGGTAAGAAATGATCTGGTACAACCCGGCGGCAAAGGTGGCGTAGTAGTAGGCTTGGGTCAGGGCTTGATTCTGGACCCCGGGCTCATGGAAGTCATGGGACGCGACGGCGATGAGAGCGATGAGGAGGATCGAAGCGAGCCAGAAACCGATAATGGTGACTGGCTGGGCTATCTTGAATGGCATGCGGCGGGCCATGTTAAGTAGCAGTGACAGGTTGGCGATAAGAGCGCAGGCGAGAGAGACCGCGTTGACAGCAATTAGCCTGTCGAGCCACGGGTCAATATCTAGGACCACAGCATTGCATCTAGATTTACGTACCAGCTTGGGTCCTTGATGTCGATGCCATGTTCCTCGCTGCCGCCCGGAGGTATTTTTACTCTCCAGTTTTCCACCAGGGCGCATATGCTGAATGCGCTGGCCATAGGGCCAAACGTACCAGCAACGAGAGGGAACGCGGTGGAGGCATACCACCACCTCGCGGGCGTCAAGAAACTCCTCTCTTCCTCTTCCTCGTCCAAGTGCACGTTGGTGGCAGAATGCTGGGAAGGGGAGGCATTTTCAGAGACCTGATTGGACGCGTCAAGGATGCGGTCGTCCAGGCCGGGGTCGTTCATCTTGCGGTGGTGGAATGGGAGGAGAAGCAGGCCCGAGCGGAGGAGGAAGGGCAATTGGGGACACAGCGGCCTTGGGCATGCTATGCTTCGAGAGGGCGTTTCGTTCCTTGTGCCACGATGGGATTGCCGTCAACAGGAACGACTTGAAGACAGGGAGGGAAGGATCAACCTCTTGATCCTTGCAGATCTTGGGACCTGCATCTCACGAGGACGCGGGAAATGCGGAGGACAAAAGAGCAATTCTCACCAGTGCCAGTGGGCAGCAAGATGGGATTCCGAATGACGTCGCATTACAGTACTAGCAGCCGTCTCCTGATGTGCATCCGCCCAACCACGGCAGCTGGTTGGCGAGTGAGGTTTTAAGCTTTATCTAGTGGTAGCTTAACGCTGCTAATAGCCGATTGGTCAGAGGGAGCAGCTGGCTGTGCTTGGTCTGTCACGTGGAAACTGACTTGGATAATCGATACGTATATCAAGTGTCAAGAAAGATGAATCTCCACACTCTCCGCAGAAGTTGAGCCTGCAAGAGCTTTGTATCTCGAGGGAATTGGGTGGAACACATGTACAGATACAGAGTTGACGTCACAAGTTGTTTGACCCTTTCCCCAGGGACATACAGGGAGCACATATAACGGACCCCAGAGCGTGGCAACTCACGTGAGGGCCATGTTTCAAAGGGCGCCATACTGAAACACCCAAGAGACGGCAGGCATATGTGCGACTCCTGAGTGCTATGTTATCCGCACTCGTACAAGAGTATGGAGTATCGTATCCATACCTGCAATAAAAATAAGGCTGGTCCGTAGCGTTGCAACTATGTACTATCACTCCGTATAACTACTGGGACAGACTCCAGAGTCCATCTCCGTCTCCGTTGAGATTGGGTCTAATTCCCACCCGTCCACCATGCCGCTCTTTAACTGGTGTGAGCCCCCCGTAGGCTGGGGATTAGGCTGTGGATTCTTATCACCTAGCCTAGTCGACAGCTTACCCGGACTTTTAGCCTCTCTATAATGACGCCTACGGACGCCAAAGTACGCCAAAGACCAGCCTAGCACCACCTAACCTCTCTAGTGGGCGATACTGTAGGCGAGACTGTGGCCAGTGCATGGGAATTTAGGGGCTTTCTCTCCACTTCCCACTCTCCTGCCACTCGCCTGGTTTCCATCCCGCCCGTGCATGCAACATCTTGAACTTGGAACTGCGCCTCAAACGCCTTTCTGTCCGACATCAGACACCAGACACCAGCCAGACACCTGCGTTCAACTCACCCCTCCCACTTCCACCGTTACCATTTCCATTTCCACCATCTTAGCACATCCAACTTGACTTGAATATCGACTGCCGACAAACCACATCTCTCGTTCTTCACTTCTTCTCATCTGGCTGTCTTGTCGTCCGTTGTCCAACCGTCAACCTGCGGTCTCTTTCACTCGCTTCTGTCACCTCCATGCGCACCACCGATCTCTGGCAGTCCCGCGCGGTTGCGCCATTGATCTGATTCCCATCCTCTATCTCACCCGACACCACATCGTACAGCTACACCTTGAACGATGCTGAGACCTGCCACCCCTTTGACGATTCTCCTGTTCGTTTCTTTCGTTCTCCTGCTCTTGTCGGTTATCTCGACACCGGTCGTTAAAAGCATCCCCATTGCAACCTACCAGGGAGTCAATTTTGGCGTTTTCGGCTACTGTAAAGGTTCCCAATGTAGTGGGATCCGGGTGGGATATACAACGGGTACTGACCAATTCCTTCCCTGGCACATGCATTCTCGCTCACTTTGCACTAGATGGCCTGTTTGGTTCTGCAGGCGATGGCGATTTCAACTTGCCGTCCAGCGCCCGCCATTCCTTGTCGTCTCTGCTCATCGTCCATCCGGTCGCCGCCTTTTGTAACCTGGTCTGCCTCGCTTTGGCTGCAGCCGCTCACCTCCATTCTCCCTCGCATTCGGCCCGTTACCTCCTCGGCCTCCTGATCCTTCTCCTCCCAACGTTGCTGGTCACCTTGTTGGCTTTCCTGGTGGATATACTCTTGTTTGTCCCACACTTACAATGGGGAGGCTGGATTGTTCTTGCTTCTACAATTCTAATCACGGCGTCCGGTGTGGTCACTTGTGCTATGCGGAGAACCCTTGTCTCTCGAAAGGCCCGCAAGAAGAGAATTGCTGAAAATGCCGAAATGAGTGGGGAGAACTTTTACACCCGACAGGCCCAAGAATCCAAGATGGCCGCTCAATCCTTCACCGCGGATCCCGCAGTTCCCATGGTCAATGGCGCTCCCGGGGCTGACAGGCTACCGGCGTTCGCAACATTCGACCCCGCTCAAAAGACAGATGAAGATCGCCAACCCCTGAGGTCACAAGCCTTGTCCGATGAACATACTTTGGTCGCTTCTCGAGACGGTGCGTCTGATGGGTTTTACGGCCCTCCTTCAAGATCGGGCAGCCGACCGCCGCCCGATGGACCTCGAGATCAGTTTGGAAATGCCCCCCCTCTACCGGCCGGTGGCCCTCCAGGGCCTATGCTGGATCGAAGGCCTGGGGACGACGGGCCACCTCCAGGCCCTTATCGAGATGGCAGTGTACCCCGTCAACCTGGCAGGGGCTACGGTTCTAGGGGTAGGGGTAACTTTCCGTTTCGTGGAGGATATCCTCAACGAGGAGGGTATGGTCCTCGCGGCCCTCCGCCTCCTCAAAACTACCCTGGACGGGGAGGGTTTTCTACAGATATGCGAGGGGGCTACGGCGGACGCGGCCGAGGCGGAGTTCCCATGGGCGCTGGCGTCGGGGGTGGCATGGCCGCAGGGGCAATGATGGCCGGTGGGCAGCGACGACCCCCTCCTGGATACCCTCTCAATGGTGGTAACGACTCCCCGTCCGGATACACACCGCCAGAAGAATACCCCAATCGGGCTGGACCACCATTGACCATTGCTGCATCGCAGCCTTTCATTGAAGATGGGGAAAGGAGGTTTGATGTGACCAGCCCTTCCGTCTACACGACCGGGCCAGATGAACACCATACCCCGTACGGTGCACGAGCACAGTCCCCTTCACAGGTTAGGCGATCACCCTATGGCAGTAGAGTTCAGTCGCCTGCTGGCACCGGCCGGCTGCCCTCACCGCCCCCAGGAATGCCTCCGTTGCCAGCCAACGAAGCGACAGAACTGGCAGGCACGTCCACACGGGATTTCCATCTAGGTAGATCTCAGAGTCAAGATCCGTAAGTTGTCTTCATCCAGCATCGCACTTCAGGCTAATTCGATCAGATATGTGCCCCCTCGGGCCCAGTGGAACCCCATGCCCCCCGACGATTTTGCCCAACCAAGCTCTCCTGGACGTTATGGCCCGGTAGAGCTTCCCGCAGGCGGAAGTCAGATGGGAGGATATGGTGGCCAAGGTCGAAGACCACGCGTGAACTCTGGTGGCAGTGATGCATACTATGAAGATGTGGATCCTAGGTTTGCGTCGGAACCTGAACCGATGCTACCAATGCCGTCGAACCCAAATCAAGCACGTGTGCCAACGCTTCTAACGCCGGGACAATCTGGACTGCAGCGACCGGATTCCATTGGCCCACTGCCCCAGACGAATTCTTACGAAGATCTCCCTGGAGCTCGATCGCCTGCTGAGAGCGATGCCAGTAACTTTACGTCGGTTAGCCAGCGTGGAGTCAACCCTAACTGGAGACCGGGTGCCGGCGGGGAATTCGGTTCATTCGGCCCTCCTATTCGGAGACGAGACCAGCAATTGAAGCGAGATGTACTGCTGGCAGGCAACCCGGATTTTGAAATCCCTGGAATTGCCCCGCCCGGGCGACCGATGAATCGAGGCCAAGGAGGCGGCGCTCCTGGAATGAGAGGCGGAATGATGATGGGCCCTCCGAGAATCCCACCCGCCAGCGCTGCCGGGGCGGGAACAGATGGGAGATACCCCATTGCGACGCCGCCACCGACAGGGCCCGGTGGAATGCCAGTGAGGGAGATATAATATGACCAATCCAGCATTCTTCGGTATTTGGGAAGGGAGAAGACAACCAAGACGAGCTTTATGGCCACTTTGTTTCTTTGACAATGTCCAACTTCTTTTTAATGATGATATAGGGTCCAATCCAGGCACGATATGGTGAATGTGAGGGTTCTTCAGGCAGGGTCTCCGTCCCTTCGACAATGAACTTGGACGATGAAGTGTACATGTATGCAAGGCTGAGGCTGGCCTGGATAGAGATACCTCGAAAGAGAGATAGTCTGCTGCGGGCAGAACGGACCAAGGTGACTACAATTAACGAATTGATGAGGCTGCTCATATCGTTTGTGCAAAAGCCCAGTTGTACATCTATGTAGGGTCGAGCCATCCGACCGATTGGACTAAAATCTACATTCGATGAAAATGTACCTATATGTTATATTAGCTATATCATGATCCTGCCGTCGTTTGACCGTGAGCCAAATAGCCCTAGAACGTTCGAGCCTGGGTCGGACCCGGCGTTCGAGTCCTGGGGGTTGGAAGATGGCCTATCATCACCACCGCCGCCGCCACCCATCCATTTCGGGCGCTTGAAGCCTAATCCTCCTCCTCCGGAGCCAGCCGCACCGCTTGACCCTGAACGCGACGGCTGCATCCACTTGGGTGTGTCGAAGGTGTCGAAGGTATTTTTGACCCTCCGGCCGAACAGGGTGAAGAAGTTTTGTTCCTCGGGTTCTGGGTCGAGAGGCACTCTCGAACCGCCGACTCTAGATGCCGTTGAAGTCCGTGTCGTCGAGATGCCCGGTGTTGTCCTCTGTGTGGAGGAGGGGACCCATCTCGTCGGTTCAGCACGTGAGGTCCGCGCAACATCGAAGGAGGAGGAAGAACGCGGCGGATCTGAAATTCCCAAACTTGTGGAGCGGTTGCCCTGTAGATCGCGTGTGATGAGGTCGCGGCCCTCGCGCCATCCGCCAGTGCCGAAGCCAGACGGATTGTCCTCCTCACTGTCTTCGAGGATACCGAATCCGAGTATGTCTTTGATTTTGCCGTACAGGTTGAACAGCGTGGCACACACGGGCACCAAGATGAACATGGGGAATAGATAGTCAAACCACGTGCCCAGTGGAGTCAGGTTGATCAGGCGGCCTAGGAAGTTGTAGAAGGTAGATGTTTGCTGGATGTCTTTGGGGAGGAAAGTGAGGAAATTGTAGGCCAAGGGAACCGTCAGCTTGGCGATCTGTCCGGAATACCAGCATGCAGACTCTGGGTAGGTGTTCCTCTTGACCAGCGCTCGCTGTCTCCAGGTCGGGACGTCACTGAAGCTACTCAGGGCACAAACGCACATGTACGTGATCCACATGGAGGAGACGAGCTGGCCACCGAACCCGATCTGGTAATTATGGTTGCTGGGATGGTGGATGACTGTGAGGCTCACCGCAGAGAGGTGAGGCGCAGGGAATTTGATCATCTCAGACCAGATGATGGCCACAGAGGCAAGCGAGAAGAGTCCTCCCAACGCAATTCTCAATGCGGGAACGACATGCACGTACAAGTGGTAGCGCATGAACGGTGTCAGGAAGGAGACTCGACCGAAGAGGGACGAGGGCGCCCGGCCAAAATCCAACTTCTTGGATGCTTTTGAGTCGAGGATGGCCTGAAGATCCGCTGCTGTCTGCACGATATTGTCCCATTCACGAATGTATCTTGCTCGGCGGTGGCGGGCTCGAACGAGTCTCCGGGTTAGGTCTGCCAGGTATCGCTCCGTGACGACTGCCGGAACTTTGGCCGAGGCATCAACGGTAATTGGATTCGCGAAGACACGACTCTCCAACTGCCCGGTCATATCCACCAACTCCTCGATCCATTCTTGGAAATCCCGGGCGGTTCCGGTCTTCCTTTGTTTGAGCTGCATCACCTGTGCTCCTAGTTCCTCTAAGGCTAAGATGGCGTCCTCCAGCTTCTCATGAACCGGGGGTGCCTGGGCTTGCACACGTCGCAAGCTGTCACTGATATTCGCTTTCCGGAACATCTTTCTAGGTATGGCAACTAGTCCATGACCCATGAGATAGATGGCTAGTATCAAACCCCAGACGTAAGCCAGAGCCATGACCAAACCCCTGATAGCCGTAAAGTCGAAGCCGTAGGAGAAGATCATATAGACCAGACCGGCCACAGCGCAGCCAAGGACGATCAGTTGGTACCTGGCGTTGGCGCGCAAGGAGTAGATCATGCGAGACCTTGGATCGCGATAGCCAGCGTCCACGTATTCTCCCAGCAGTGGAAGCACAACCCATGTCAGGACAAAGGTCAACCAATAGACGATTCTCCATGAGACCAGTACAGCTCTCTTTGGCAACCATATCCCCTTGCCTCCATGCTCGCTCTCCCGTGCGCTTGACGCAAGATCAATCGGAACCAACAGAATGGCACTCGCGGGGAGGACGAGGGAGAAGAAGATAGGGACTAGGAGGAAGGCCGGCGTGGTCCGTAGGGGAAGATAGCGTCGTAGGAGGACGAGGACGGCGATCGATATAGTTGAAAACGCAACGAGGGCGAAGACATCGGAGCCGACAGAAGAGGCCATGATTCAGGAATCTGGAGCGCCTCAGCAAAGTGTATGCCAGTAGCCATCAATGGTTGAAGCGTTGAGATAGAGCAGGCATGTCGCAAAGCAACCAGTTACAGGTAGAGGTCAGAACCGGGCAGTGAGTACTCCGGAGCCTTCGAGCGCCTCGATTAAGGTGGTGGTTGGGCCGCGACACCAGGAGGTGCGAGCTGTATAGAACGAAGATGATAACTGTCCACGCCGCTCAAGTGACAGAAGGGAATAAACCCCAGAAATGTGCCGTACTGTACTGTAATAGTCGGTGCTTCGGTTGCACACAGTCCAAGTGCAAGCGACTCAGGATCACAGATGCACAAGTATTACTACAGAGAATGTACAGGACCTGGTCCGGTAGTGTCGGGTTGGGTGACGTGGGTGCCTGGGCCAGTGGTGTGGCAATGGTTACTGTAGGTTCAGGTCATCAGGGCGGAAGGCTCCTTAGGGACAGTAAGGCTAAAGCTCAGGCTCATTATTAAATATAGTGCTAGGGGGCTCCTAGGGCTCTCTAGGCTCCTTAGGTCCTGCCTGCTCTGCCTGCTTCGTCTTCTGTTTAGGCACTAAGGCATTGTTTCGCCGTGGAGGTTGCACGCACTACTGGCCGGTGAGGGCCTAGGGCCCTTAGGCTTGAGCCCTGAACTGCTTGGTACTTCCCGGTAGGCTGCCGTCACCCACACTAATACAGTAATGAGTTCCTTCACTATTATGCTCTCTGCGACAACAGCACCCATCCATCCATCCCGTGGAAGAGAGCCTACTCGTATCTGACTATTCTTTCATCCGCTGCTTCTCGTCTTTCTGCCTCACGTACCTGACCTACTAGAGTCTATCCTGGAGACTTTCCTCGCCACATCCAGCGTGTAGATTGATTGCATTATCTATATGCCGGCCACCTACGGAGTACCTTGGACGGTACGCATTCACATTGCACGGTCCATCCCTGTAGCTCACGTCTAACTTCTCACTAAAGCCAGTCTGCTCCACCGATCTGGGTCGATCCAGCATATCACCATATCACCTGCGACCTGCGACCTGCGACCAAGCGGCATTTTCATACCATCTACTCCTGCCCACCCTCATCGCGGAGCAACTGACTGACGACCTCGCAACCCTCTTCTTTTACTGTTGTATTGCTTTCTTCTGTCCCAAACTCCCCGGTCGCAACCTTGCCTCCGTCACCACTCTTCCTGCCCCTCTCAACCGGGCGTAGGGACGGCTACTTGCCCAGAACCTATGTGTTGGCCTCGATTCCTCCGCAGACGCGCCCGCTGATACCAGGTATCCAACCACAACCGCTCCTCCCAAACTCTTTCTCGCTGCAGGCGCTGCCTATCCTTGCACAAACCTAGTGTCAGCCTCGACTAATCCCGCTCTCGCTCGACAGTTGTCGCACATTGCTGGGCGTGCAGACCTCCTCTCTTCCCATGATCTGGCACACCTGCCTCCTCTTTCGATAGACCTCGAAGCCTCGACCCTCCTGTTTCGCCCTGGCCGCCTCTTCTTGTGTCACACAAGTGATTTCCAACCCTCACCAACCGACGCCGCTTTCAACTTCAACAGTTGTTGTCTTCGTCACTGCCAGCCCTTCGAGAGTCCTGCCATTGCCTCCCGTTTGCCTGCCAGCCGCGTTCACAATCGAACAATCTCGACTACCTCGCCCGAGTCCCGTCTTCGTTGCACGACTTCTCATTTTGAATATATAGGTTGACGCCGGATGCCTTGAAATACTCTGCCTAGCCTGAGCGATTCTCGCTCGCCAGCCTCGCCGCACCCATGAATCCGCAGCAGTTTCAAAACATGGCCGGCATGGGCCGTGGCATGCCCAACAACATGCAACAAAAGGCCATGGCTAATCAGATGGCGGCACAAATGGGCGGCCAAATGGGTGGCCAGATGGGCCAGATGGGCCAGATGGGAGGGCAAATGGGCAGCCAAATGCATAGAGGTATGCCTCAACAGATGGCTGGACAATTGAGTCTGAGTCATCCGTCGGTCCAGCAGCACATATTTGAGATGCTCAATGCCCAGGGGCCCTTCAGTGGATGGCAGGCTAGCGTTCACATCAAAGAACGCGCAGCACAAATCAAGCTGTTGGTGGATTCATTGCGTCTGGTCAGACCACCGGTCGAGCTTCCACGCGCAATCGAAGTTGCCCTCCAGTTCGAACGCAAGAGTTTCACCCAAAGTGCCAGCAAGGATGATTATGTCCGAGAATGCAGTGAGAAGCTGGGGAGGATCCGTGATCAACGGGCTCAACAGATGAACCAGGGCGCAGCTGGGATGATGCAAAATATGCCAATGGGCATGCAAAATATGCAAATGCCCAACCAAAATATGGTGCAAATGCAGCAGATGGGCCAAAACATGAACCCGAACATGGCCCTACCGCCACACCTCCAACAGCAAATGCAAGGCTCCCCTATGTTCAATCAAGCCCAACCGATGATGAACCAAGGGGCTCCCAAGATGAACCAGGCCCAAACTCCCATGATGCAGGCGAATGAGCAACAGAAGCTGGGCCAGGTATCGGGCCTGACGTCGGAAGATAACAAAACGATCAATGTCCGTGCCGCCGAACTCGCGAAGAGCACTCCTAAGGAAGAGATGCGTAATATCGTTGAGAACATGAACCCTCAATTAAGGCAGAATCTGACCCAGAAAGCTGTCGATCCGATTATCTACTACTTTCGTATGCTTGCTACCAAAGAGTTTCGCCGACGAAAGCAGATGGAGGCTGGGATGGGGGGAGGGCAAAATGGTGGCCAGATAAACAACAACGCCAACACGATGGGTCAGCTTCAAAACCAAACCACTCAGAGTTCCATGAACCAAGGCATGAACGTCAATGCTGGTGGCTTTGTGAGTGACATGGGTCGATTTCAAGGGCTGCAAGCAGAAGGGCTGCGGTCCCAAGAAGAAGGCCAGTTGGTCGTTCCCGCCAGCAACAGCCAGGGCATGGTGCCAGAGCAGGTACGTCTGCAACAGCAGATGTTGGCCAACCAGCGAATGGGCCAGCAGCAGCAGCATCATCAGAACCCTAGCCTGAACCCGGCTTTCATTGCGCAACAACAGCGTATACAACAGGCACAAGCCACCAAGATGCAGCAGGCTCAACTGCAGGCCCAAAATCAGGCACAGGCCCAGGCTCGCGCCCAAGCTGCTGCACAGGCCCAGATGGCAGGTCAACGAGGTCAAATGCAAGGAATGCCTCAGTCCAATGCTCCTCTCTCGGCCATCAACCGACCGGTTGGCCCCAACGTCTCCGGATCGAGTCCCAAGTCTGCTCCTCGTGCCCCATCCGCCACACCAGTAATGAGCCAACAACAACCGCATATGGCCGGGTCGATGCAGCCGGGGCAGCAGCAACAGATGGGCATGCAGGAGATCCAGAAGCGGGAGCAGGCCCTGGCTAGCTTTCCAGGGGCTCTACAGGCTATTCTTCGACAGAAGCCACAGAGTGAGTGGCGCGCTACGCTACAGCAGTTTCAGCAAAGCAGCAACATGAAGAGAAGCCAGTCCCAACAAGCACCGGGTATGCCGCCACAGTCTCAGCAGCTACAGCAGCCTCAACCTACCGCTCAGATGCAGAATGGTGCTTTTGTCGGTGGCGCAAATATTGGGCCTATGCCCATGCAGCAATCACTCTCCGCTGGCGCCGTGTCTCACCAGGGTCAGGACATGGGCGCCATGCCGGGCTCTCAAGGGCAAATGCAGCAAACCCAGGAGTTGATGAGACAACGTCAAATGCAGATGCAACAGCAACAGCAACAGCAGCAACAACAGCAACAACAGCAGCAGCAGCAGCAGTCACAGCAACAGGCTTCTCATGCACAGGGTCAAAGTCAGCCGCATCGACAACAGTTGACGCCCCAGCAAATGAAAGTCATGGACCAACAGCCGGTGCCTCCAGCGGTATTGAACAATGTCAGGCAGCACACCCCAATGCCAGACATCAAGAACTGGGGTCAACTGAAACAATGGTTGACAGCAAACCCGGTGCCAAACTTGCCCATAGCTCAAGCCTTGGACATCCAGGCAACGCATTTTGCTCACATCATGAAAACCCGTGGCCAGAATGTACAACAGCAGAACAATGTGATGGCGGGGCAGGTTCCAGTACAACAGGCCCAGCAGACTCACCAGATGCCTCAAGGTCCAGGGCAGGGTGTCCCTGGCCAGGCTCCCGGTATGGCTCCCGGAATGGCGCCTGGGCTGTTGCCGTTTCGACCACCAAGCCAACAAGACATCCAAAGACTTCGATCCCACAACCCAAAGCTAGCCACTCTCCCAGATGAACAAATACGGGCCCTGCTCATCAATCGCCACCGACAGATGCAGCAAAAGGCGATGCAACAGCAGAACGCTCAGCAAGGCATGGCACAGCCAATGCAGTTTATGCCTTCGCAAGGAAGCGTTCCTGGGCAGCAATTTGGTATGCAAGGACTGGTACAGCCTCAGACACCTGTTCAACCCAACATACAGGCTGGCCAACAGCCACGGCCGCCCTCAGCTCAAGCTCCTGAGCAGGCTCGACAATCGCAAAACAACGCGCTGCCTATCAAAAGGCCCAGCGACGAGGATGTGATCCAAGTGCCGAATCCGGCTAAGCAGGTGCAACCTCAGCTGGATGGTGTCAAGATTCCCGGGGGGCAGAATCTCACCAAGGAGCAATTCAACGCTTTAGACCCGGTCAAGAAGCAGCAGTATATGAATTATCAACGTCAGCAGGCAACGATGCGCCGCATTGTGGAACTGAGCAAAGAAGTTCAGGCCAGCATGCCGAAGCCCCGGCCCATCACGAACATGGATGCCGCAAGCAAGAAGCGCATCATATCAATGCTGACTTCTGACAATGTCAAGAATATGCTCGGAAGGTTCGATGCGTTCCTCATGGCATTCTACCGCATCGAACCAAATGATGCAGCTATCAAGCAGCTCGTGGCGCAAAAGCTGCAAATTATTGCCCAATTCAAACCACAGGCGCTCCAGAATCGGACCTTTGAGGTGGTTGACAACTTTAGCATCTCACCAGAGACTGTAGATGCTATCATCAACAATATTACCGCGAAGTTCCAGCAAACTGCCGCCCAGATCCCTCACCAAAACAAAGCGCGTCCGCAACCCGCGCAGCTAACCCCCGAGAATCTGAGCTTGCTAGAAGCGCAGGAGCATGAACGCAAGAAATCCATGAAGGCCAACCAGGTTCCTCCGGCTCCAATAGCCACGCAGCCGCCCTTTCAAATTGGTGAGAGAGGGCACGGCACGCCGAGGTACGCGACTTCGGGACTCAAGCAAGAAGACCTCAAGCTTCCTGCCGACCCGAAACGGCGGAAGAAGAACCAGCAACAGGCTGCAACCACGGCTGGGACCCAGGGCACCGCTGCTACTCCCACCACCACTTCCCCGCAAGCGACAAAAACACCCAAGCCCGTGGAGACGTTCAAGTGTCCAGTTGCAGGCTGTGAGCACCAGCTCAAAGGCTTTTCAAGCCAGGCCGAGCTCGATCAACATCACAATGTCACTCACAAACTGGACATGGAGCCCGTCACCGATCCCCTTGCATTCCTGCACGAGTCTTTACGTTCTGCCTTCAACTTGGACGAGAATCTCAAGCAAATCAAGAAGCCGAAATCGGACGGTCAGCCCACGGCAGGTTTCAATGTCAAAGGCGAGAACAATGCATCCACTCCGATTCCCATGTCTAAAATCCCGAGTCAAGGCGGACCGGGGGTCGCTGCGAAACTGGGTGATGTCTCCAAAGGAGACGACGATCCCTGGAAGCATAGTAACATTACGCTTGAGCAACTACGCATCGCGTTTGGCGGTGACGACTGGGACGAACTTTTCCCCTCGCAAGAAAAAACGGAGGAATTTCAGTCCAAGTACTATCAAGCCTACCGTAATACCAGCGAAAGATGGAGAAAAATCGTGGAAGGTCCTAATGGCGCTCTGACAGACACGTCAACAGAGAAGTCCAAGAGCCCCGAGGATGGCAGCGATAAGGATCTTCCTTCCGACGCTGCTGCAGGTGAAGACAAGAAACCTGTACAGACAAAGAAGACCGAGGACGACTCGTGGTTGGTCAATCTCGATGGCATCGAAGGTCTTGATCTGAGTGGTTGGGATAATACGTCTCCCTTCGAGAACATCGGAGACCAGGACGTTACCATGGGTGAAGACGGTTCACCGTTTGAGTCGGTGGAGAAGCCGATGTGGTCGATCAGAGAAGTGCAGCTTGAAAATCTAGGTGTGGACGTCCAACATCCCGAGCACTGGACATCACAGGAGAGAGCACTGGCGGAGTTTGTGCTGGGGGATTGATTCTGACGTGTGATTCCGCACATCAGTGAGGGAAAGAAGGCGAGGCAGGCCTGTCAGGGGCCTATTTGGCGGGGCGTGTCGGTGCTCGAGGCCGGTTGTCCAATATCACTGATGCACGGCGTTTTAGGGTTTACTTTTATGCAAGCTGGATTGTATCTACGAAAGGGTTATGAATGCGACGATCTTTAACCGCAGACCTATCCGAGAAGACTGCCACAGTGACAGGGGAGGAGGGTGTGGTAAGCTTTTGTGCGTAGTACCGTACATGTATACTACACAGGAACTATCTGGCGTGGGGTCGCTGTGATTGCGGGATCTTTTGACGCCTTCAGCGAGTTTATGACGATGGCGACGAGGTGAAGAACGGGACCATGTGACGCGGGACTGCGGATTCTTGATATAGGCCCCTTGGTCCCTCTGCCTGATTGCCATATGTTTGCGTTGCACAGATACCACGTGAAACTTCAATGTCATTCATTATTGAACTCCCAGGGAGGCGTTCGTCTTGTCCAAAAGCCCTTGCTTCGCCGAGGCGATTTGCATCGCAGAGTCGGCGCCGTGTAGAGCCGCGCCAGTGGTATTGCCTTTCCTCACGCCGAATGATCTCTCGTCTCCGCTGTAAATCCAAGACCGATCCTACGAAGCCATGACATAAAGGCGTGCCTTGCCGCACCAGCGTTCAAACATGCCCCCTTGAACACGAAACCGTCGATACAAAATGGAGCATAGAAACAGAAAAGGAAAGAGAAGTGAAAGGCTCCCTGTGCCTCACGCATGAGGTGCCTTTGAAGTCTGAACCGACCAGTCTCGGACGAGGTATGTGTTGGCTTCTTGACATTATCATCCGGCATCGTCGCCGAAGCTGTTATCGTCGTAGCGCTGGTAGTCTGCACCCTGAAAGCGACCCTCGACATAGTCGATCCCCAGGCTACGCAGGTTGCTGATCTGTCGGGATCCGATGCTGACAGACTCGAAACCTTCAGGGAGACGGCGACGGGCTCTGTTGAGACCAGGTTAGTAATGGTACTGCATGGGTTCAAATAGACATATTTGGAAAGGTCAAACTCCAAAGGGGAGTTTCGGGCGTAGGAAGGGTAGGCGAAAGAAGTGGTGTTTAGACGTACTTCAAAAAGTCCAACTTGATATTCCGAGCCTTATCCTTCAACTGCACCTGCGTCCGATTTTGCAACAGCGGCCCATCCGGATGGCCAAGATCCTTTTGGAGGATCAGTGCCCATTTCGTTCCGTGCATGGCCACCATCTCCATCAGACGCTCAATTTCGGCGTCGGTATAGGGTTTGCGGGTTTGGATTTGGCTGCTTGAGTGAATTTCGCGGGAGAGACGCGTTGCGAGCTTGGCCTCTTGATTCACGCGGGAAAATTGCGAACGAGGCGGTTCCATATCCAATGGGGTATCAGCATGAGCAGGAGGAGCAACGCGTCGAGTGGGAGCCGTCGAAGGGCGCTGCTGGTTTGGCGGGCTTGAAGAGGGCGCTCGTGACGGAGAGATTGTGTGAAGGGCTGGGCGGCTGGTCGACGGTTGTTGGGCACCTGCTTGGGTCGTGTCTGGTTGTGGTGCTGTTGAACGTGGCATGCGGTGTCTAGGTCGTCCGGCTTCAGTAAGGCGAGAAGCTAGTAATGCTGGATTCGATCTAGGAGGTGGCCCTCTCTGAGGAGTAGATGTGGCCTGCGATGCCTCTTGGCCGTCACCGTCATCTTCCGCCTCTCGATTAACTTCCTCCGTGGTTGATGGTCTGCGGCCTAAATCACGATCCCGAACTATCCCAGGTTGTCGTCTGCCTTGCATGTTACTGACTCGAGGCATCTTCACAACTCTTTGATCGGTCTCGTATTCATCATCGTCTTCTGATGGTTCAGTCGCTGACCTCTGGCGCTTTGCCGGCTGCCGAGGAGGAGAATCGCCTTCGGAAGCTTCGCTCCATGGAACTCTCTCGGCGTCCTCTTGTCGGTCCAGAAAAGACGTTTTCTTGGCCACGACCTCCTTGTTCTCCTTTTCGCTCTGTTCCTTCTGTCGGCGAAGTGTCTCAAGTATTAGATCGGTCTGCTGAGTCAGAACAGGATCGCCTTCGTCTTCAAGACCCACTTCAGAAGACTCCGGGACCTGGACGGAAGACTCAGCTTCGTCCCCGGGCCCATTATGAACGTTCTGCGTAGGTATCGGTGACTGTGGGGTTTCGCGAATCGACTCTATCTCAGCGACCATGGCTAGACTTGCATCAGCACCAGATGTCTCAGCGGCATGCATTGCTTTGAGCGATTTCAGTCTATTGTAGCGGGAATTGAGCTTGCTGCCTGTCGGCGGCCCTGATGGGGCCTGCAGCTCTGGGCGGTCGGCTGAAATAACCTCGGGAGCTCTGGCAGCAAGCATGGCACTCATGGTACTTATACCACCATTTGATCGGATCAGGTCGTCGAGTTCCTGTTTGCGGGCCATGGTCCATTTTGCCAGTTGAACGACGAAGTCCGGCCACGAAAATTGCCGCTTTAAAGCATCGACATCCACCGACTGTTGTGGGTCAATGCGGAAGTGGCTTCTGATGGCCTCTATGCGCTCGGCAACGTTCTCAGGTGCGCTTAGATGCGTGGATACCCGTTGCGACTCGTCGTCAACCCAGAATATTTGCTCGAGCAAGGCATCCGGGTCAAATTCCGGGCGAGCGTTGTCCGCTTCCGCTCGGTGAATATAAAATTGAGTGAGAAGTTGGAGAGTGATGTCGGCAGTCTGCTCCTGCATATGGTCCCCAATTGCGAAAGAATCCATGTCAGCGAATGGTGATGGGAAGTTGTTGAACATGTACTCGAGATAGTCGATTTCATCTTCCGGGTTTCCGCTCAACACGGCGATCATTTGCAGGGCGAGATTGGCCAAATACAGAACAGGATCTGGTCTCCAGGGACCGTGAGGAGCGCCCTCGGCGGAGTTCGCTGTCAAACAATGTAGGACGAGGTTTGGCTTAATGAATTCCAACTCCCCATATGGCTCTCGACTGGTCAAGAATCTTTTTTCTCGAATTCGAAAGCGTTTGCGATGGGGAGAGTTCGGTTCTGACAGCTTTCTCATAAAGGTACTGAGTGCAGCATCATCGAGTCCGCCAAAGAGATTAAGTAGATCGCTGGAGTCGTCATGTAGAAGGGTGATGTTGTCGATTATGGCAACTGGATCCAGCTGATCCAACATGCTCTGCAAGTCAGAGCGTTGAGAACTTGGTTCAAGAGAAGGCGAGAATCTGTTAGTAAGCTCGTCATCTTGCTGGGGCTCAGACTCCTCATCCACGGCGGCCGACACCTCGTCAATGTTCTGCAATTGATGCTGGGCGGCGGTGACATCGCGGCCTGAGGATCTGGACGGAAGGGGTTTTCCATATGATGCGTCAGGAGAGATAGAGATTGACGAAGCCTTTGGGGGCGACAGAGGAGTGCTTTTCCTGCTCACCGAGCGAGCAGCTCGACGGGGGGGCATGGCGAATCGGTGTGTCGAGGTCGAGGTGGTGTTTTAGGGTTACTAACCCTGACGCGTTCGCGGAAACTTCAAGTTGCCACGCAGCCACCGGCGGAGGCGCAGGCTGGGCACTCGGCAAACCTTCCGCAGTCGGTCATTTTCTAGTATTACCGCCACCACCACCACCGCAGCCATTATTGTCGTCACCACTGCATCACAACCACCACCAACGGTTGCTGCTGTTTTGCCCAGTACAGTACACCGTACGTCGTACTTCTAAACCTCACCCTATTGATGCTCTAGCCAGGGCAAAGCCGTTGTCAAGGTCGAGGGTGGTATTCTCCTCATCTCGACATAGGAGTGTTACCCGTAAGTGTATACTCGTGGCCTGTATAGTTCTCATCTCTTTGACGCAGGCATAATGGTATCAGCCTCATCGTATGACCGTTATCCTCGCGTGTAAAACTCACGATCAGAACTTCTGGCTTCTATTGCGTCTTCACACCGACTCATCAGCATGCCCCGCCGCGAGTTGGTCGGCCGCTTAGGAGTGACCTCTCAGTCAGACTCAGATCCCCCCTGTGTCAACATGGTGTCTTGCGCTGTGCTTCCGCCATGCCTTCTACAAGAGATGGCACCGCCTACCAGGGCAGGGCTGTATGACACATGCGGTTGCGTCGAAGGGATTGAATTGGAGCGTAATGAGAATGAGACTATCCCGGAGGAACACCACTGTCGCAAAAAGAGCTTCTTGCGCAAACTCAGGTTAAGCACTGGACGCAAACGAGATGTCGCAGCAGACGATTCACCGCCATTTATCATGCGTGAGATTCCTTACGAGTTGTGGCGCAAACATTACGCAAAGGACCAGGACGGCAAGTATAGAGGTACTCATGCTCCCGCCGAGGATTGCCTTCTCAAACCCGACGATGTACAAAAGTGGCGGCTAGGCGATCCCGTCACCAAAGCGGACAAATGGACCCGAGGAGGGGAGGTACTCCCCGTTTACGCAGAGGTTTGTGCGGATGGTCTCGTGCCAGAGTACGAGGTTACCCGTCACGGCCAAGAGAGGACATCTCCCATTGATTCCACCATCACCATGGCCAGTGAACGGTTGACTAGCCCGACATGTGGAAGGACGCAGATCATCGCCGCAGATACCTGAGAAGAGGCGGCCGAATCCTAGCCTGCTCTCTCACAAATCGCCCTACCGACCAGAACATGTCGGCGATGGCATACTGTTTTGTGTTAGGAAGGCTTGGAATGGCACTAAGCATGTCGTCATAATGGAGGACAACCCCATGGAGTGTCGCCTTTAGCCCATGCGGGTTAGGCGATATGATACTGTCAAGTCCTCCATCTGCAGGGTGCTCGATGTAGGGGGCGGGGCGGGGCGTTCACTTCGATATAGTGTAATTATTTCTTCTTTGCCAAAGTTGCCGTCCTGGCCGCCATCTTGAGAATGGCCATGGTCCCCTCGCGCTCCTTGTCCATAGCTTTGAGCCTCATTGTCTCCACGAGTTCAGCGTGCTCGGTTTCAGATTGGTCCCTCTTCCGGCGACGCTGACGCTTGAGGTCCCCGTTCCCATAGACCACAGCCCAGTCATCGACATCCCGATCCACCGTCACACCGGCGCAGATTTTTGCATGAGACCCGACCGTCACGCCCGCACGAACGGTTACATGTGGCTCGATGACCACGGCTTCTTTGATGACTGCTCCGGCAAGGACGTGCGCATTGGCATGGACATAGACCCTTGAATGAATCGTGGTCTTGACCGGGTCCGATTCGTCACTCCCGCTCCCGCCCGCGCCCCTGCCCGCGCCCTCCGGACCCTCAGATGGTTTGTCTGTCGCCACGGGCCCGCCAATGACACACTTCTCGGAGATGATGCACCTGTCACCGATGGACAGTGGGCCGTGGACCGCCACGAGTTGAGCCCGCGGGTGCACGAGAGTCTGCTCGCCCAAAGTAATGCCGTGAGTGCCGCGGACGTAGGCTCCTGGATCGAGGTGTGTCGTTTGCCCGAGCGTCACGGGTGGTCTGGCGGATGAGGGTGCTTGCGTCGATGTGGGAGCGGGCTGGGCGGCGCTCATTGCTTTGAGTCGATCCGCTGTCCGGGTCGTTCCTGGACGGGGTGAAACCAGACGGGAGCCGCTGGAGTTGTCAAATGGAGAGTTTATCTCGAGGAATTGAGGTTTGATGATACAACAGTAATAGTACGGAGTACGTAGTAGATAGGAAATGAGAATGAGAGCCGAGCCGGGGCACGCGTTGGAGAACTGGAGCAACCGACGCGTCTGATTGGACGAGGTCTGACTACATCTACAGTCGAACTTCTAAGCCCTATCAACATATTATAAAAGCTCACCCCACGGCATCTTCCCTTCCCGGTCTGGGGAGAGCAATATGCTAAAAGGCGGCCGGTTGCATTCAATGTGCTCTGGACTGGCTTGAAAATGAACAGGGTGGCCCTCCCAGGACCTCTCAAAAGCGTCCAGACTCGTGGACTTTGTCCAGTACGAGCAGACAGTTTTTCTTCATTCTGATAGTAGAATTAACCTCTTCTGCCCGTCTGTCGCTGCTGGAGTTGTGTGATGCTGCTTGTGGATGCGAAGATTTACTCCCGCCAACAGAACACTGGGTGGCTTCGGCGGCAACTCAAACGTCGACTCTAGATCAAGCTTGAGCCTCGAGTCCACCTCCTGTCGCTCTTTCGTACCCCACATCCGACTGCCTGCCCGCCCAACCATAATGATGATGGCGTTGGCCTTTCCACGTATGATAAGGTCCCAACTACATTCCTGGTCTCCAACCGTACCCTGGAACTACCTGATTACTGCTCGACTCACCGGGCGACTTGAACAGGTGTGGATGGCCAGCTCCGCACGGAGGATGTCTATCCAGCCTCGCACCTTTCCGAGTGACGGCTTCGCCGCCCTCCCGAAGCATGAGAAGTTCGAGGAGGAGAGACTCGTTGGCTACAAAGCCGAAAAGTTCTATCCCGTCCGACTGGGCGAGGTCTTCCAGTCGAGGTACCAGGCCGTCGCAAAGTTGGGCTTTGGCACGGCCTCTACCGTCTGGCTCTGCCGGGATCTGCAGTCAGTCAACTTTGATACCCCGTGTTTCGTCGCATTCTGCTGACTGCCATCGAGTGAAAACGCCCTGGTCACTCTCAAGGTCCGCATCGTCGGAGAAGATGATACCCAGGAATTGGCCATTTCTCACTATATCAAGTCTATTGACGCGGAGCACCACCCTGCCAAGGAACGGCTGCGCGTGTCGCTGGACGACTTCCGTATCAGAGGTCCTTATGGATTTCACCAATGTCTGGTTTTCGAGACACTAGGCGTTACCTTGACCAATTTAAGAGATTTGTTCGAGAACAGGGCTCTTGAAAAGACCCTCTTGCAGAAATTTTTGTACATGATCGTGACGGGTCTAGACTTCTTGCACCAGGCGGGGGTAGTGCACACAGGTCTGTCCCCTTATCTGGCCTCATCGCAGCGTGTTAGTTTAGAAGGATCCTAGACCTATCGCCCAACAACATCCTAGTCGGGGCCGACGCTATTGCGACGTCTAAAGTCGAGCAGGCCGAACTGGCCAACCCATCACCGCGAAAGGTTTTGGCGGATCGCACCATCCATCTTTCTTATACCATGCCAACGACCTACAATCCGCCGGTTATTACCGATTTCGGCGCTGCTCGCTTGGGGGATCCAGGCCGACCATCTCGGCCAAATCTTCGCAAATCGGATGGTCATTTCCAAGACACAGCTTCTGGATCGCCAACGTCTTCGTAGCCCACTCAAGCGTTAATCGACTATCCTGCAAGCGAGCACAGCAGTAGCGAGCAGCGCGCGTATAACTCGAGGAAATCAGCACCCTTGAACATGGATAGAAGCACGAGTGTGATTCGCACTTACGTGAGACCGAGAGCTTCGTGCAGACCAAGATCCTTTTGCAAGGCCTCCATCTGCTCCAAATCCTTCAAGACACTTGACTTTGACGCGTCCACTCTCTTTCTCCGAGGTTTTTGCTCACGGTCGGAGACTCGTCGGTCAAGTCTGGAGAGTTCCTGTCTTTTCTGATCCATCGAGCTGGCGAAATCAGAATCCGAACACGCCTCACATAGACATACAAAGGCACCTTGCCAGAAGAGCTTCTCCTGCCGCTGATCTTTCGGCTTGAGGAAGTCAGGCACATATGAATATGCGAGCTCCTCGCCTTCTTTGATGTCCCTCACGGCATGAACGGTCAGAACCCCGTCGCCCAGATTCGGATTCTCGGCGCATTTTGTGTTTGGGAGACATGAGTGATTGAATCGGGAAGGGAGGTAGGACACCACAACTGTTCCCGTATGGCAAATACTTTTGTTCATCCGATAGATCGCAAGCACTTTTGCCATCCGGTGTCTCTGTCGATTATTCTCCAGAGCGGGATTCGTGAGCTCGTAGTCCAGGTCACATTCCAGGTAATGCAATCCGAGGTACTTCTCCTTTTCCAAAGGCTTGAGTTTGCGGAAAGCTTTCCAGATTGTCGTCGAGTCCCCGACTAGGTCCAATTTCATCAGCGGGGCCTCCGCGACAATTCGTGTGCCTCGAGGAATATTGACTTTAGCAAAGACGCCGAGGCCTTTTTTCTCCTGCGTCCCTGATCTGGATCAGCGGGTGAGAAATCGCAGTCTGCCTCTGTTAGCAAAAAGTCGACGCTGTTCGCTCTGGACGTCATACCCCGATCCATCTTTGGGTCAGCAGTCTCATCGTCAGAACGTGGGGTCTTGTGTACATGATGGCTTTGCGCCTGTGCCTGAAAGTCTACTCTTCTACGTAAGAGCAGTAATAGCAGCCTTGTATGCTGAGTTTAGAAAGGCAGACAAACGAGATAACAAACCCCAAGAAGCCCTTAGGTTGTAGAGTTCAGCATGTTGAGTAAGGAAACGCGTGGCAAGAGGAGATGATATTCTCAACATGGAGATCGGGGGTGACCAAAACATGTGCAAACAACGACCACTGTATCACTCCTTGTACGCATCTGGAATGCTGGTGGTCAGATCCAAGGGAGACGGTTCTTATAGACGTCAAAAGCGGCGGCGTGCCCAGCCCGAAACGGCCGAACTGCCTAAACCAAAAGCGGATTTCCGGGCAACAACTTTACATAGGTATCTACGGTAGGTGTCGATCTGGTCCCTGTCATCGACTTCTGGCACGCAAGAGAACGCGAATATCGTGGAGTCTGAGTTGGCGAGGCAGGCATTGTTCTCATGTCTAAGCGGGGGAAAGAATGTCCTATTACGACGTTGACGCCATCTTGACCGACTCCCAAAAGCTGCCGTGTACGTTCGAGCTGGACGTGCCTGGGCTGGGATTTCTGGAGGGCAATGTCGGCGGAACAGTAAGTCTGCTGGGTCATCACCGCCGCGTACACATCACAGTTAGCCTGATGCATCGTGCTAGGTCAAGGCCGGCACGAAACTCGATCTGCCCATGTGGCTCGGGATCATGCTGGCAGTGTCGACAGGGTAAGTCCAGTCCGCTTGCAGATTGCTCTGGACTCTGCTCCACGGAAATTGTGGCATGTCACGTCGGGCTACAGTATTGAATCTAACCACGAGTTGTGCGCACCGTAGGAACACGCCTGGTTCGTCTCAGCTCGTGACGCTGGACTTTCCCACGCCACTGCAACAGCGTGTCATAAATGCCCTGAAGGCGGACCCGAGAACGGTCGACCTGCGGGCCCAAGCACCGCATTTCTATGCCCTGGGAGCGCGAATTATGGAGCTGTTTGACGATCGCGCTGTGTTGGATACGCTACTAAGTGTGCGTGGGCAGAGTCCTTGCTGGATGAATGAGGACACCGAGACTGACTTGGTCATGTGCAGACATTCAAATTGCGAGCCGCGGAAATCGCAGACCAGGCGCTCAATCCGCGCGGCGCGTTAGGTGAAGGTGCCGAATTCCTCAGAGGTTTGGATGAAACCGAACGCCAGCTGTTCAAGGCGGCCCATGAAGGCCCCAAGGCGGTGAGAGCCTGGACGCTGGATTTGAAGAAGAATACATGAAGCAGTGGGTGGAGTGGAATGGAAATATAGGACAGTGCCGACCGCCATGCGATGGGCGTTGGGCAAATTGCTTTCAAACCGCCAGCTTGTGAACATGCTGCATAGCCCTTCTGGAGAGGGAAGAAGCCTATAGCATTGGCATTGAAGAATGTAGAACTGACGCGACCAAGTGTCGAGACGAACTCCGGTGGGTATCCGAACGCTCATGAAACAATGAATAACTAGTTGCTCGATATTGGCCATAGACCAAAGCAATTCATGCATGCTAGCCAACACCTCCAGCGGCCTCCTTGAGCTTGTTCTGCTCGGGAGGCTCATCCACGAACTGCGGTGGCACTACCTCGTCTTGTAAAAAGCCTGGTGTGCTCTCTCCGAGGCCCATCTCCTGCTCCAGCAGCATGTCTTCTCCCAACGCCTCCAGCTCGGCATCCAGCTCGGCTTCATCCACATCTTCCGGCACGTCGTACGCGCGACTGATACTCTCGTTGATCTCGTTGCCGATTTCCATCAAATCCGCCATCTCATCCTGCATCTTTTCGATCTTGTCGATGTTGATTTTGCCGTACTGCTGTTTCAGGGCCTTGTTGGTCGTCTTCATCGCGTCCACCGTCGTCATCACGTTCTTGAGGTTGTCTTGCATCATGCCCGCCTGTTCCATGTTCCACGACTGCTGCTGCAGCTGGTCTCGCTGCGATTCGTGCATCTTGCGACGCTGTAGGAGTTTCAGTGCTTTCTGTTTGATGGCCTGCTTGCCTGGCCCGTCGCGCATCTTGCTCAGCTTCTGCTGGTACGTGGAGAGCTCGGCGTTGATCTGGGCCAGTTTGACGTCGATCGACTCGATCTTGGTGTCGACCTGTTCGTCATTGTTAGCATCCTGCGAGCGCCGGAGGGGCAGGTCCAGGAGCGACATACATTCTGGATGGCGTTGTTGAGCGTGGGCTTGGGGCCCGTGGGCTTGGTGCCAAATAGACGGTTCATTGTCGCTGTCACTGCCGGCCAGGGTGCGCTTCTGCAGCTGGTCTCTGGTGGCCGCCGCGCAGTTGCAGATCTCAGGTGTTGGTGGTGGCGGTGGTGGGAGAGCAGCCTGCTGAGCCAGAGAGCATAAGCCGCCTTTCTAATGCCACTAAGGGACAGTTCTGTAGGCTTATCCTGCTAGTGTGGAATTGAAGCAGTCTAATAAGGAGCCTGCGCTCGTCCCCGCAACAAGTTCAATAAGTTCCGTGGCTAAACTGCGCTTATCTGAGCTCCATCCATCTGCCACCTCGTCTGCTGTAATTAGGCGCCTAGTAGGCAGCATGATCGCCCGGATACTCCACGCTCCACTGCCTTAGACTTTGATCTATTCTCTATTCTTACTGTACGCGCTTCAACGCCCACTCTTATATGCTTAGACTCAAACCACTACATACGGTATCCGTACATGGTTACGCTGAAGAGTCCGATCCGTCGATGGAAGGCAAAGCCTTGCTGTCGGCCTACCAGTGGCTGGTCGACTTCCCCACGAAGCCGGGGGCCGGTGGCCGTTGTCCTTCTGCAGACCCTAACCACCACTCCCACCGGTACCACCACCCTTCCCCTGCCACCATCCCTACACGCGGTCACATGCGAGAGGCTCGAGAGTGACGGCAAAATCACGACTTCATTGGCGGTCGAATTGCTGGATCTCATTCAAATTCCTGAGGCCCCTCTACACAACGCCACCTCATTCCAAAGACCTCTCTGTCTGTCCGTCTGTCTGTCTTTACCAACCGAGCCCGCGGCACAATGCCACGACAAGTTTGCAACCTCGCTGTCCTGCTCGCTTCTCTTGCAGCCTTCCTCGTCATCTTCACTCGAACTGGCCAGGTGCAGCATCCCTTCGGTGACGACCTCGCACCTTTGGGCTTCGATGAGTCTCAACGATCAGCTCCAAGTCGATCATATTTTGTAAGTGCACGGCTTGGGTGGAATGTTGCGGCTTCTTGAGGCTGACCAGTCTCTTTAGTCTCTTCAGTATGCCTTCATGTATGACACCGAAGATGTCGAGGCCCCCGCAACCTTCATGGATGCCTCCTCTCTTTCAAAGACCTCTGGCTATGCCGACACAGCAGGCATCAGGCGTCCCGAACCCTTTCCCGTCCTGGCACGGACGTGGGGCGAGAACGACAATCAGCAGGGCACATTCGACACTGATGACATCCCCCAGCCTTTGGGGCCCGATGTGACTGATCGTGACACCATCATCAGTCTTGCGATGATGACCTCTGACGCCTATGTATTTGGTCCGTCCGAGCCAGACTGGCTAAATTCCACAAATGGTTTCAATCACTCGGTCGGATTTGGCTGGAATGGTACCGGGCTTCGCGGCCACATCTTCGCCAATGCAGACAACGGCACCGTCATCATTTCATTCAAGGGGACCAGTCTCGACCCTCGAGATAAGTGGCGCGCCAATGACCGTCTCAATGACAACTTGCTATTCAGCTGTTGCTGTGGTGATCAACGACCTGATCCATATCCGTACGGCCCTGTTTGCGACTGTCGGACTGACATCTACCAGTGCAATTCTACATGCTTGACGCAAGAACTGTGCCAGAACGACCGCTACTACGGATCCGCTCTGACTGTGATCTCGGACGTGTTGACCTGGTATCCTGATGCTATCGTTTGGTCCATAGGCCATTCTCTGGGAGGGGCCGTCGCAAGCCTCATTGGCCTTACGCATAACTTCCCGACCGTGACTTTCGAAGCCCCTCCTGAAAAACTTCCGGCCTACCGACTTGGTCTTCTCTATTCCCGCAAGCCAATGACCTATCACTTTGGAAACACTGCTGATCCTGTCTTCATGGGCGCCTGTAATGGATGGTCATCTTCGTGTGGTTTGGCAGGCTATGCCTTTGAAAGTCAATGCTTTACCGGCAAAAAGTGCGTCTATGACACGGTTGGTGATCTGGGTTGGCGCCTGAGCATTGCCAATCATAGGATCAACACCGTCATCAAAGATGTACTGCAGAAATACAACACTACTCCCACGTGTGAGTTTGATGACGAGTGTGTCGATTGCTACAACTGGGACTTTACAGTACCGAGTGCGAAGCCTAGTAGTGAGTCAAAGCGCAGCTTTTGAGTCTGTCGGTCTGATCAGACTATACGTGCTCATCGTTCTCTTTACAGAAAGGAAGCAATTGGCTTAACACGCTTATGGGACCAACATTAGCGTGTATGAGTGGATGAAGCCTGGTGGAATACATACTAAAGTCATGAGAGATGGGGACAATGCATCCGAAGCGATTTACAGAGAATCTCCAAGAGCCCCATTGCCCAAACGTGCAGTCAATGCATGCAGTTGTACACCTTGGTGTTGTCCTCCTGTCGCAAACGATGGCACCAAGTTGCAACTTGGACGGTGGTTGCGGTTTCAACACAACATGTCTGTGTTATGGGGTACATGCAATATACCTCAGCTGACAGCTGCTCATGTGCAACTTGCGCGCTAGCCACCACATCACATCAGCTTCCGCCCAAGCAAGACTGCCCTGGCACATTCACTTAATTGCAATCGTTTAGATCCCTATCGTTGACATCTCAGAAGACGACCACCCCGAAGATGGCATTCCAGGTATCATGGCGACCATTCCTTCCATCACTATAGACGCCGGGTCAAATCTACACACCAGCCAGCCCCCAGCTTCAGGGGAGTCGGTTGCGATTGTTGAGCCAGTTCGACAGGGTGGCCACTTCAATGCTAGTTTTCCTGTTTGTCGCCGCAGCGAAGTTCTACCAAGAGCGACGCGAGTTACAGAGCCTCCGAGCCGAATACCCAAAAAAGAATTCACATGCTGGCTTGCTGGTAGCCTGGTCATAGTTTATTGCACGCCTCTGCTTGAGGTCCGGGGGAAAAAACGAAAAGGGATGGTGTAGATTTCTCACATTCGCCCCTTCCCTTCTCGACCTCCGTCCTAGACTGTAGTCACTGCATCTCTCCTGCGCAAGAGGATCTTTTTCTGTGGGTCTGGTATGACGCCCGAGTTCAGTTCGATATTCCTCGGGCGCGTCTCTCCATGCGGCATCTTGAAATCGTAACGAGAGATCAGCTCGATCAAGATCAGCTTCATCTCGATCGCGGCCAGGAATCTGCCAGGACAAGCGTGCTTCCCATGCCCGAAATACAGCGCGTCGGGCCCGGTCGAGACCAACTGATGTTTGGCTTCGGAGCCAGGCTCGGCACGCAGCCTTTCAAACCTGAAGCCGTCGAATTTCTCCGGATCGGGGAAGATGGCGGGGTCCTTTGCGATGGCACTGGTGGGCACGCCGATATAGCTGCCCTTGAGGATGGTCTGGCCGTTGGGCAGGGTCAGATTCGACATGACCTTGCGCTCGAAAGTCAGCAGCCCCAGAGGGTTCATGCGCTGGGACTCTTTGAGGAAGCTGTCGAGCTTGCGCAGCTTCGACAGGGCCAACATGCCCAGTCGACCGTCTTTCTCTTTCTCCTTCTCAGTCCGCATGACAGCGTCGACCTCTTCACGGAGCGGGTCGACATATTCCGGGTGGGCAGCCAAGTCGAACAGCACGTGGGTCAGCTGCATGTTGGTGGTGTGGATGGCCGCCGTGCTGACCAGCAGCTGATTGTGTGCCTGGTAAGTCATGTCTGCGGCCCTTGCAGGCGGCGAATTACGGATGTTCCACACGAGCATGTCTTGATACAGTGAGCCGTGGTGCCTCTCGCGAGACCGGGTGATAATTTCTTGGTAGAGAAGGCGGCGGATGGTTCGAAGCTTGCTTCTCGCGCGGTAGGTGTGTGGAATGAGCCACTGCACCAGCGGGTGGGTGAAAGACGGGACGAGGCGCAGCATCTCGGCCGCTGTCATGCTGTCGATGGTGAAGTTGATGATGCAGTCGAGGTACTCTTGACGCCGGCCCATTCGCCGACCGATGAAGACGCGGCCGGACATCTTTGCAATGATCGGGATGAGCATCTGCGTGGGCGTGAATGGAGTCCAGCTCGTACACTCGCTCATGTCGGTCCGTAGGGCCTCTCGCAACTCATCGTGCAGCTCTGCCACCGCTTTGCCCAGGTGCTGCGACAAGCTCTTTTGGATGCTTTTGATCACCGTGTTGTTGTCCGGGTGGTTGACCCGCGAGGCGAGGAGCGTGTATCGTGCGAAGAATCTCTAAACACAACCTTCCATGAGTTGGGTGCGACAACGGACGGGCCGATGGACCGATGGATAGATCAGATCGGGGGGGGGAGGGATGGGGGTAAACAGGCAGACCTCGCGTGCCAGCTGCTGGAAGCTCAGCACGCTCTCGGGTGCGTTGCACAGAGCTTCCACATACTGGGCTGGGATGACATGGACAGGGCCGAAATGGTCTCGCAGCTTGAAGACGCGGTCTTGAAACTGGAAAATCAAGGTGGTCAGCCAAATACGGAGTACACTTGAAGAGCACTCCGAGTCACCGTCAGTCATCGTCACAGTCACATTCTTCATCACCACCACCATCACCACAAGGGACTCACTCGCGGATAGTTGTGCTCAATCAGGCTGGACATGCTGACGAACGTGTTGGGGTCCGAGGTGCCGTTTTTCTTTTTCCTCCCCACTCGAAATTCCGGAGTCTCGCCCGACAGCTTCCTCTCCTCGCTCTCTGTCTCAAACCTCAACAACGCCCACCGACCGAGTACGAGGCAGGCGGCCGCTGCTGCTAGAACGAGAAAGACGAGGGGGAACATTGTCGGTGTCAAGAGTTGACGACAACCACACCTCCTCAATGCCAGTGCCAGTGCCAAACATTGTCAAGCTCTTTACCGCAAACATAATACGAGTTTTGCACAGATATAGAGCAAGCGCAGGCTCAGGCTCAGGCCCTGGCTCAGGATTGTCTGCTTGCTGCGTCGCTGTCAGCTCGCAACCACTGACTTGTCGCCACGGAGAGACAGGTGCCCGCTGACTGCAAAGTAAGTGACAGGGAATCCAAAATGAACTAAAACGCATCATGCTTTAGTCTCCTCTCCGGAGCCAATGTCCAGCCTCGCCGGTGATGGTGGATACGGTGGTGACGGGTCAGGGTCAGCACCAGACAGTCTGAACCGATCCTACCCTTGGGCTCCCGCCTTTCATCCATCATCCTGTCTTGCGCCATGGGCTGCATTCCTGCGTACCTCTCCGGACAGATACAGTACAGGACCACAGAGCAGGAACATCGGTCAGTACAACACGAATCTACTATGACATACGAGGGTCGAACCTAATGTACTTGACGACCGTCAACAACAGGCAACTCAAGCCAGCACTGCGGGCTCTATTTCATTCGCGCTCGAGGCTTTTGGAATGCTTCCCTCCTATCATGCCTATCAGAGCTGTCTGATAACACTTGGAGAAAGAGGGTGACAGTACAATATACGGTGCTACTGAATGTATCATATCACCCGTTGGCCGGACTGTTTCCTGGCCTACAGTAGCCGGGGATAGGATCTGTTCCTTGAGACTAATGACTCATGTCTACCTTACACAAATTACCCGCGACGATCTCCTTCTCCCTCGCCATCAACTCCTCGACGCACCAGTTGGCACTCATGTACCTGCCGTCCATGAACCGGGCGCGGTCGGTTGCCAACCAGACGGCAGTGCCGCCGACGAGCTCAGGCGTGTCCCGGGCAAATCTGGACATGAACTCGGGCACAATGTCCGTCATGACCATGCCTGGATGGAGGGCAACCGTGACCAAGTTTGGGATTTCCACCATCTGCTTGCATAGCTGGACCACAGCGAGTTTGGAGATACAGTAGCCGGCGCTCAGATGATCCTCGTTCCATGCCGCTGAAGAGGAGATGTTGACGATTGTGCCGGGGTTGCCCGCCAGCAGACGAAGGAAGTATTTGATGGTCAGCAGTGTGCCTTTCACGTTGACGTCCTGGAGTCAACAATTATGATGAGTACAACATCATACCTATACGGTAACCGACTGATGGGGAGTATGAGTACAGGGTTTGTGATATGTCAGGTTTTTCTTCTTCTTTTTGCATTGGCTCGATTTCGACTCACAAAATTCCGCCACCATTCATCCAGGTCCATCTGCTCCAGCGTGGTATGTCCCAGACTGACTCCGGCGTTGTTGACCAGCACGTCGACGTGGCCCAGTTCGGCATGGACGGTATCGAAGAGGGCGCGGACCGAGGCTTCGTCAGTGACATCGGTCGGCACCGACACCACCTTCACGGCGGGAGCGAGACTTCGGATCTCGTCGGCGGCGACGGCCAGCTTGGGGCGGTTTCTTGCCGCGAGGACGATGGCCCTGGGTCCTGCGCGGGCAAACTGCTTTGCCAGACCCTGATGGGATTTGAATCAGGACGGATGGGCTCACGACTGTGACAGGGGCTGGTATACCTCTTTCCCAATGCCTTGACTTGCGCCCGTGATGAGAATGACCTTGCCAGCCTGGGAGAGTGCTGAGGAGCTGGGGTCGGTGGCGTCGTATTGGTCCCGATGTACCGTCTTGGTGAAGGCTTCCTTGCGCACAAAGAAGTCGGGTGGAAGCTGGTTCAATGATTCCAGCAGGTCGGTCATGGTGGTGAATGTGTGATGGAGAGTTGGCTTTGCTTGGGCTGTGAGTCGAGAGAGACTGGTTATGAATGTGAAGTTGAGGAAGACTAGTTATGGATTTGAAGTCGAGGGAGACTGGATGGATATGAAGTTAAGGGAGACTGCTTATGGATTCTAGGAAGGTGCGTTTGTGGTTGTGTTTTAGGACCTAGACAAGACATGGACGGATAGATTAGTACCTAGATACCTCCTTCTACATGTACCATTCTCATTGCGTTGACGGTTACTCTTCAGCGATACCTGTGTGGATAGATCTAGATATATATATATATATATATCAGCCGCAGCAATATCATTTTCAGGCTGAGATACCTTGGGCGAGAGCTCTCCACCGTCTTAAGGGACTGTGCAGTATCATGTAAGATCCCGCTCTTCCTGCTCTCGTAAGCCATCCTTTCGCTGACTCTCCCTCTCGTATCAAGCTATTCGAGCTATTCTCGCCTATATCTGCATCTGCATGGGCATCTAATCTATTCTCCATTTGCCCCTCCATTTCCCCCTCTATTTCCCTCTCCATTTCCCTCTCCCTCTCCCTGGTCTCCCTAGTACGTAGGAACTAGGATGTAGTATCTACTACCTACTACCTTAATACCGTCTAGTATGCTCAGTGACCCTCTCCGAGCCAGCAATGACTCCATATTCATAGCCCACCGTAAACTCCAGCCTGTCCAGATCCATGAATCTCAACTGGTCGGGCACGATGGCCTCGACAAACTCCCGGTCGGCCGTCATGCTCAAATAGGCCTTGATGTCCTTGACAAACATCTCAGCCGTGCCGTCACAGGCGTGACATTCCTTCCCTGTGGCTTTGGTGGCGGCGTCTAGCATCGCCTTGGCCTGGGGGGTGGTATGGTACTGGGAGGATTAGTAGATGGTTAAGGAATTAGAGAACAAACATGTAGAAGAAGCTGTATCTTGTGTCTTGTCTTTTCTTCTCTTGTATCTCAGGCCCTCACTCTCTTCTCTTGTGTTGTCTTTTCTCTCAGACCCTTACTCCCCCTAGGGACTCACCTGTCGATACTCCACCACCCCATACTTCACAGACAGCTCTAGCATTTTCGGCCCGTGGATCTCGGCCCAGTAGTGGTGGAACTCGGCCTCGCTGATGCCTGGTTTGCGGTAGATGAAGGCGGTCACGCGGATCAGGTCCTCGTTGGCGGGCATGGTTGTGTTGTTGGTTGGTTGGTTGTTGGTTGGTGTTGGGGAGTGCTGGGGTTGAGGTTAGGGTTAGGGTTAGGGTTAGGGTTAGGGGTGTTGGGCGTGTAATGGCGACTCTATTCGCTCCAGAGCCTTAGGGCCGTGATGCAGATTAAGGCAAGTCTTGGGCAGACACTTCGAGTGTACAGACACATACACATGCCTGTATAGACTAGACACACACTAGACACATATTAGACGCATATAAATACATGCACATGCAGACTTACACAGACGCAACATCACATATCACACATCGTATATCGCACATCATATATCATACATACATCACACGTCACACATGATCTGGCGCTGCCCTCGCCCCTCGAATCTCCTTGATAGCTTATTGCAGCATCTTCGTCTTGGTGTAGTGGCCATCGCGCAGCGCAACTGTCTACCTGCCGACTACGCACTGTATCTTGCTCATCAGCCCAGAACCGGGGCTGCACAGTACTGGCGTCACGAAGCATTGCATAGCGTGGCATACATGACGGCACGATGCATCTGTCAAGGGCGGTGTGCTGATTCCTGATTCCTGATGACGCTGAAAAAGAAAACTCATCCCTTCAACCTTTTGTTTGGGACTGAGGGGCGGTTGTGGCATGTGCAGGTGGGTGAGTGTCGATGTGTACTGGAAATAGATCACATGAAGCGGGCTTCAGCACAACGTATAAAGTACCGTGCACACCACTCGACAGGCCTTAGGCCCCCAAGTCCTATACTGTACGTGCATTGGTGCGGCGCAATGAGATGTGAGTTGAGTCAGCATGCATATTGAGATTTCCATTCATTTCCAGATTGAGTGAGACCGAGACTGAGACTGTATCAATACGATCGTCGGTCTGGTGTAAAGTAGATATAGCCACCTAGGATCTACTAGGTACAGTGCTTGGCTGTTGTTTGGTGTTTTGGTTAATGCAGCTGCATGGTGAGGCCATCATCATACATTATACATCATACATACATACAGACAGACGGACATACATGCTGACATACAGACATACATGCCGCCATTCGCACGTGTGACTCACCTAGCAGAGCAGCAGCAACGGCGGCGGTATTACCATCAGCATCAGTATCAGCAAGCATGTCAGACTACACTGAGAGAAGAGAAGAGCCACACATGAAGCTGTCGGCGGAGAGCCCTCGACGCAGAGCAAGCAGAGTGAGCAAAGCAGAGTAAGCAGAGCAAAGCAGAGTAAGCAGAGCAGATCAGAGCAGAACACAGCTTGATCAGTCCAGCACGGTCCAGTCCAGTCCGGTCCATCCAGTACTACAATTGCCCACGCCACGCCGGTCTTATGGGAGCCGGAGCTGAGCTGGACTTGACTTGACACTGCACTGCACTGCCCTGTGACGACTGACTCTTGCGGAACGGAAACGGAAACGGACAATGTCCATCTCGCCATCTTGCCTGGCTGCTCTCGCTCTCCCGTATCACTTTGTCTGTCTTGGTCAGAAACCGCCCTCAGGGACGAGGACGGGGACTGGGACAGAGACTGAGACAGAGACAAAGACAGATACGGAGACGGGGACGGACACGGTGACAGAGACAAGGACTGGGACGGGTGAGATAGCCCATACTCACACCCACACCAACACCCACACCCATACAAGCCTTGTTCTTGTTCGTCTCAGCCTCCTTGGTGGAATACCAGTCCTTCTTCACCTTGTTCGTGAACGACCAGTGCTACTTCACCTCCTTCTTGGGTTGCCAGTGCTGCTTCACCTCCTTCGTCTTTCTGGAGTGCCAGTCCAAAGTCGGCTTTTGGTGGATTGTGATCTGTGATCTGTGATCTGTGATCTGTCACCAACTTTACATCCATTATCATTATCATTATCACCACCACCATTACCACTATCACCATCACCATCATCACTACCACCATCATCATCACCATCATCATGACGGTCGGCGACTACCCCCTTCGTGAGAAGATCGTGGTGGTAACCGGCGGCGGCGGCGGTCAGTCAGACACCCAAGTCCCCAGTCCCCAGTCCCCAGTCCCCAGTCCCCAGTCCCCAATCCCGAGTCCGCAATCCCGAGTCCCCAATCCCAAGTCCCCAGTCCCCAGTCCCAAGCCCATGTATCCGCAGCGGTGAAGCCAGGACCCCAAATTGACACCGACACTGACACGTACGGCATCAGGATTGAGCTTTGAATTTGTGAAGCTGGCAGTCGAGCAGAACAACAAGGTCATCATCGCCGACCTGCGCCTCACGCCGGCGGCTGAGGAGTTTGTCAAGATGAACTCGAAACCCCATGCTGAGTCGGGATCAAAACCCCATGTTGAGTCGGAATCGGGTCACGTCATCTTCACCCAATGCGACGTCGCGGTCTGGGCCGACTTGAACCATCTGGTCACGGTGTCGATGGACCGGTTTGGCGATGTGCCGGACGTCTATGTGGCAGGGGCAGGATTATTTGAAAAGGTAGGTTAGGATTACAGTCGCATCTCTTCAGTTGGGTTACAGGAGGGAGGCTGAGATCTGATCTGACATTTGCCATCTAACATCTGATCTCAACATCTGATCTCTAACATCTGATATCTGATCTAATCTCTGATCTCTGACATCAATATCTGATATCTGATCACCAGGGCCCCTACTCGTTCTTCACCGACGAAGAATCCGACCGCTACACCCTGATGGACGTGAATGCGTCACACCCCATCAAGTTGACACGCATCGGCATGAAAGCGAGCCTCCCGCGCAACAAGAAGACGGTCGTGGCCATCGTCGCCTCCATGGCCGGCTTGTACCCGCTGTATCCGAGTCCGGTGTACAATGCGTCCAAGCATGCCGTGGTGGGGTTTGTCAAGTGTATGAAGCCGGCGGATGTGGAGGAGAATGTTAAGATTGTGGCAGTATGTCCTGGGTGAGTCAAGCATTTTACCCTGTCGACCACTCCAATGAACATGTCCTACCAAACTAGGCTCTCCTACATACTACATACTGCGTACTACCCACACTTTCCTACGTACACCTCCTACGTACACCTCCTACGTACACCTCCTACCTCCTACCTACTACCTACCTCCTACCTACTATCTACTACCTACACTCTCCTACCTACACCTCCTACCTACACCTCCTACCTACACCTCCTACCTACACCTCCTACCTACCACCTACTACCTACCACCTACCACTTCCTACCTACACCTCCTACCTACACCTCCTACCTACACCTCCTACCTACACCTCCTACCTACACCTCCTACCTACCACCTACTACCTACCACCTACCACTTCCTACCTACACCTTCTACCTACACCTCCTACCTACACCTCCTACCTACACCATCTACCTACACCTTCTCCCTACTCCTACTATCTACTAGCACATCTACTAACCACTAACCCTTAACTACCAGCCTCGTCGACACCCCCCTCTGGACCGACGACATCAAAGCCGCGTGGAAGTTCGACGAATCCATCAAACTGTCGGCCAAGGACATAGCCGACACCATCCTCCAAGTCATCGAAGACGGCCAATACCCCGGCGGCACCGTCATGACCCACACCCACTACGCGGGCCGACGGGTCGAGGAGTTTGTCGACATCGAGGCGCTGGTTGCCCCATTGAAGGAGTCGAGTTATGGGCCTGTGAGGGAGATTTTGAGAAAAGAGAGGGAGGGCCATAACTATGAAGAGGAAGAGGGCCATAATCATAACGAGAACCATGACCATGGACAGAAAGAGAAACAGGAACAGAAACAGGACCACGAGGAGAAGTAGGAGTCACCCTCCCCTTCTCCTAGATTGCCCAGGACTGATCGATGCCCCCACCACCCAGGAGAATGCCATCTATAGTGCCGGTCAACACATTCGTTATGAATATAGATACGAATACGAATACTACAGGAACCGTTTACTTTGGTCTCTACCTTATTTAGTCTCTGCTTTGGTCTTTACTTTGTCTCTGCCTTATTCAGTTTCCAGTCTATAGTTTGGTTTATGCGTATAAGACACGATTCAACTTCTACCAGTCCGTCTGGTCTAGTCTAATCCAGTCCATTCCAGTCAAGTCTGGTAGCAGTTTTCGTCTTGTATATTATTACGTATATATTATGTTGTTCTACTTATTCTACTTGTTCTCCTGGTCTTCTGGTCTTCTGGTCTACTTGGCTCCTGTCAACTGGATACTATCTACATGTTGATTAATATCCATAAGCCGTTAATATACCGTCTGCCCAAGCAAGAACCACTACTATAACCACTGCCACTACCACTATAGTGTGTACTGTATACTACATGTCCTGTACTGTATACTACATGTCCTGTACTGTATACTACATGTCCTGTACTGTATACTACATGTCCTGTACTGTACCATATAATATACCAATAACATACTATAATGCCATCGTATGGGTGTCTAAAATCAATCAGGAGATAATAATCTAGTAGCATGTTGTTTGATTCAGTTCAGTTCAGCCCTTTGTCTCCTCTCTCTATACCTCTCCCTGTTTCTGTACCTCTATCACTACCTCTCTCTATCTCCCTCACTACGACTACATCCCTCTCCCTCTCTGTGTACCTCTGTCTCTCCCTGTTCCTCTCCTTTCCCCCCATCTCTATATGTCCCTCCCTCTCTATAACTAGATGCCTCCCCCTATCTGTATGTCCCTCTCTGTATGTCCATCCGAGCACATATCCCCACCCGTTCTCTCGATCATTCATTTCACCTGTCCCTGCCTCTTCGATACCCTGACCTCAAAGTCCTTCTGGAAGAAAATACCATAGCAAATACTCCGCCATGGTCGGTGTGGTCGTAATACGGAGATGTCGAATCGACGGAGAAGCTGGGAGAAGAATTATGGTCAGCTTAGATAATAGCTAATAGCTAATAGCAACAGCCAACAGCCAACAATAAAAAACAAACAGCAACTAGAAAGCAGAAAGAATAACAGAAAGTAAGTAAAAGTATATAGAGAAAGGAGAAAGGATATAATAGAGAGTAAGTAGAAAGAATAACAGAGAGTAGAGAGTATAACAGAAAGTAAGTAGAAAGTATGAGAGAAAGTAGAAAGTAGAAATACATCACATCCATACAGTATTGCCCATGGCACACCATACGGACAAGGTCTTACCTCGACAAAAATCTTGTTCAGATTCATGGTGGCAATACGAATGCCCAAACACCGCGTATTGCCATAGCCAAAGATCAACTCGTGCACGTCGTGCATGCGACGCAGACGGTCCGGGTCAGCCTCGGCCTCGAGCCAGCGTTCGGGACGGAACACGTCGGCGTCGTCGCCGTACACCGGGTCCAGCTGCAATCCCCAGGCGTTCAGGCCGATGAAGGTGCCGCCGGGGATGGCGTGGCCGTGGATCACGTCGCCCTCCGGAGGCACCTCGCGTTCGCGCAGCTGCGTGATGGGAGGAAAGCGTCGGAGCCCTTCGGCGATGCAGGCCTGGAGGTACGGCAGGTCGCGGGCTTCTTGGTCGCGGATCGGGCTGGAGATGCGGCCGGCGCGGATGTTGGCGTCGATCTCGGCTTGGAGTTTGGCGTAGACCACGGGGTGGGTGATGATGGCTAGGAGGGTGGCTCGCATCGACGTGGCTGTGGTGTCGGAACCTGCGACTCTGTGCGGGTTAGGATAAGATAGATAGTTAACCTCCGCCGTCATCCATCATTCATCATCCGTCATCTTTGCGTGCGGCCACTCCGACCTTTCCTTTCACCTGGCAACATCGATGGTTATGGACCTTCACCATAGAATGGTAACACCATAGGCTGGTAACGGACCTTCACCATAGCCCCTCACTCAAAGAATACTAGACGACTTACAGAGATATCGAGATTTCCGCTTCGGCTTCCTTCGCATTCAGCCCGTGTCTGATAAACGAACCCAACATGTCGTTGCGCGGCGGCGAAGTCGGCAGGAAGCGCTCGTCCACCACCTTCTTCGAGATCTGGGAATGGTCAGCTTCAGCTCCAGCGTCTCAGGGATCAACTCTGCTGCTCTGCCCGGCACAGCGCAGCTAGCTTCACCGACCCCCATGATGCGGCCGATGCCGATTTGGTCGGCCGCCGACGGAAGCAGGAGAGATCTGAACCAGGGAATGCGGGTGAGCCGCTCCAACAGGGTGTTGATCTCGGTGATGACGGAAAAGTGCTGCACGATCGGCAGCTGGCTCTCGATGGTGTAGAGGAAGTCATGCACGTCCCGGTCTTGGTCCATGAAGCCCAGCGGGGCCCCGAAGCACAGGTGCGTGATCGAGTCGACCGCGAGGTACTGGATACGCCGGCCAATGTCGAAGGCTCGGGTTTCTGCCGCGTCCGAACACCATCGCTGGTTGATCTTTTGGCAGAAGTCGAGGATGCGTTCGTCGATGATCTCCTCGGTGCCCTGGATTTCTTTGCCCGTGTACTTGTGGATGGTTTGTTAGAATAGGTGGTAGTAGGGTAGGAATAGGTAGGAATAGGAAGGAATAGGAGGAATAGGAGGAATAGGAGGAATAGGAGGAATAGGAGGAATAGGAGGAATAGGAGGAATAGGAGGAATAGGAGGAATAGGAGGAA